AGCCCACGAGGGACGATTTTTCTCCTGCGTGACTCGCGCCAGAGTCGAGCTCGGTAATTTTTACCAGCGTCGCGCTCTTCTCGCGAGATGTTTAAATTGATCTTGCAACCTGGATACGATTCGCCGAGCGTGAACGATCTCTTGGGAGAGACGGCCGAGTATCGTTTCCACGTGTGCACACGTATATACATTGACTGGCTCGACGACAATTTGGAAAAACACCGAGACTCAACTTGAACTGAGCTAAGTAAGTGGGAAAAATTCGCTGGTCTGAGTCATGCTGGTACAACACCTCTGTGACAATGCTCTCTCCTCCACTATTTGTTTCATTTCACTGTTTTTCCCTCTCTCCTTCTTTCTACCCCACCTTTCCTTCATACTCGACATTCGAGATGGACATGTTTCGCGATATTCGATAGACTTTCGTTCAGAGATTCCGAGAAGCTATGAATGAAAGCCGAGATGGGGATTAAGATTTTTCTTGAAAGAATTCGTTCCTTTATGCTACTCTACTCTGTGAGAGGTCGCTAAAAGGAAGAAGTGAGAAATAAAGGATGTAATGCAACACCGATTATCGAACGGAGGAAAACAGAGTCTCCGTGATGAAGTTTTTCGTCTGCGAACGAAGATCGAGAGCCCAAGAGCGAGGAGCACGTTAGGGCAAGGACGCAATAAAACTATCGCATTCATTTCAAATATAGTAGCAAAGAGACGTAGACGTATAGAGAACAGATAAAAAACTAGATAGTGGAGGAGGAAGAGGAGAAACAAATTTTAAATCTCAAACAAAGAGAAATACACTGGCCGTTGAATTCCGAGGATGATTCTAAGACGATGATTGTCCGAGAATGTGAACGTATTATGCGTGCCGTCGAGCGGAAATGGAAGAAAATTAAAAAAAGAAAGAACGAAGAAGGTGGAAACGATGAACACGTTTATCTGGCGAGTTCTAATGACAGATCTCAGGCCAGCTGATTAGTGCCGTCTGGTATTGATTTTCCAATGACGACCGCGCCGCATACTGAGAACTCCCAGCAGGACGATGCACACGCGCACGTCCACGACGCTCTTGTTCGGTCCGTGGAGAGAG